GTAATATAAATATACATGATCATCTGTAGTACTAGCAGGACTCCGGAGGAGAATTAGATAATCCTTTGATTTTGGGTCTAGCACACTCAAGATCTGGATCCCTCCGCCGCTACCGTTTACACTGAAAAATACAGGTCTCAAATAGACCAAGGACATCCAAATGCTCCTACCACCCTGCGACAGATTCATCCTATAAGTTAAGCACGTAACCAACTCTACCAAACCAACTCCCGCCAGTCATCTTGTACGGTCCAAACATCGCTCCACGAACGACACCGAATAGGCCACGGGATAAGACAATCACGCCGTGGGATTTGATGAGATGTCGGACATTGGAACATGCCCGAGGTTGCTAGTAGAGCCGTGTGGATGTTGATTCACCTGCCAGAGATGCAGGTGCATGCGTGTGGCAAGAATTACAAGCATGATAAACTGGAAACTATATGTGGGTGTACATTTTGGGTATTGTTAGCAGGAAGATGTGGCGGTACATACTTGAAAAAAAAGGTTTGGTAGGAGTCCTGGGGCGCAGAGCAGTCAACGGCTCGATCATAAAAGGGATTTAAGATATTCACGTACCTGGAGGAGCAGCGATGCGAATATGTTCGTTACCGAGAGCACTTCAGGAAAGAGAATGATTATGGATGAGTATGGGAAAACAGCGCGAACAAGTGTAAACTCACGAAGACTGCATGCATAATAGGATATGTTATGGTTCACCAGGACAACGTACAGACGGCTTGGGTTCATCCGCCAGTTCTGTATGGCGCGTATGAGCGTGAGCACCATGAGTCCTGGGGAGAACACCTGTCAGTGTGTGTTTGTACAGATATATGCCCCTGGTTACCCACCCAGTTCGAACACGGAAAGGAGAAGAAATGGTATGAAGTACTGGGAAACTGTCGAATTCCGGTAGCACCCTGTGATTCCCGGGAGCGCACTAATCGCATCTGTGAAAGGGAACAGAATGCTTTAATGGTCGTGGAACGCCAGAGGGAAGGTGAAATCAAGTACATGCTACAGTGTCGCCAGTGGCGAAGACAATGCTGAAGGCTACTGCAAAAATAATCTGGCTGATGCATCTACCACTAGCTTGGGCATTGTGAGTCAATTGGGAACTCACGAAAAAGGTGGACGAGATGGCTACGAGCAAGATTCTATTTTTGTTCCAGAGCACATACGTTCTAAGGATAAAAAAAGCTGGATGAATCAGATCAGAAACACACATAATACGGGGGGAACAAGAGATACTTTCGGAGACAATGACTAGTACTATTCCAAGACCTGTGAGAGGAAAGTAGTAGCCCTCAGAAGGGACGTGCATACATGAATGCACTACGCACGTACCTGATTGAGTATTTTCCAGCACCCGGCATTTCTGGAGAAGTCATGCAGTAAGTCGTTCGTTCTTGAACCTTCCACCATATCACATACACCTAAGTTCTCATTCGGGATAAAATACACTAAAAAAAACAAGTGTCAATTCATCATCAGGGCGATGTGCTGGAACGGGACGCACTAGATAGATTTGTGGCCAGAAAGATAAAGGGGAGGTATCGTGTAACAATATAGAGGCCTTTCATCTTGCTCCAGCCTGACCGAAGCAAAAATGACCACTGTGTACAGCAATGATATTGTCAATATCAACCCCGAGATATATCATGGAACGAAGGTATTACCTCTTCATGAAGTGAACATGCATAATCGTAAGTCTGGATAAGCGAGTTCGACAGCGAACGTGGATAGATCGGAATAATCCTACCCAGAACGCAGCCAACGACGCTGAACTGTGTTAGGACAAAGAATTTTGGATTCAGGTGGCACCCACCCAATATGTACTGATGGTACATGAGTTGTCAATTGTAATTCACCCTCATATCAACAAGGAGACACACCTTAAAGGACTCCAAGCTCGTCGCTTCTGTGATATCGTCAGTTGAATACACCATCTAGAGGTCAAAAATGTGTTTCACACACACGCACACACATCATGCGCCCTCTTAGCTCTTATGAATGGGCTGTGAACCCATGAGTCAATGTCGTAACGCAGATGCTGGGATATCATTGAAGTTAATGTAAGTTCAAACTCAGCTAGCTTGCTGTGATCGTGATGGCGCGTTTTGGCCGGGGAGTTGAACTTGATAAAAGATACATTGGATAACCAGTGCCAGATGACTTCCCACAACTTTTAGAACAATGTTCTGGTTCTAAACGTCTCATGCCAAGCTGACGACCCCGTGTTTGTGACCATCCGTTTTTATTCATGGATGAAACTATGTAAGAATTGGCGAAGGAATACCGGATGTTGATATCAGGTTATGAGGCTGTGTGCGCTTGTTTGTTTACCGAGTTAGAACAGCCGACCGCCCTATATGTTGATGTTGATATTTTTACTTGTGGCATTTGCTCACGGTATTGTATGGCGCTGGATCAGTTCAAAAATGATACACACAAAATATGCACACACACGCGCGCATATTCGACACACACGCAGATAGCTAAACACACATGTCTTGTATTGTAACACACTCAGTACTATAGGCGCATTTCCAAATCAACTATGTTCTAATCAAAGTGTCTTGAATCATTAGGCCGCTGCAGCCCTGGCAAATATCTCACCAGACTCGCCAACCAAGTCATCAGATGACGAGGAATCGACTCGGAATCGACTCGGAGGATACCCTTCCCTTTTATAAAATTTCTTCATGGCTTGGCAAGCCCAAGGTATCCAATTCGGCTTTCGTCAGCATCGGGGCAGGCTCCGTGATCAGGGCCGCCGACAACTGCTGAGCTGTCTCCTCGACCAGATCAAAAGCGAGACAGAAAGCTGTTGCTTTCTTCACCGTCTGAAGCAGCGTTTTCCAGCACTCTGGATTGACCCTTCCAATTTCTGGCCCAAGTTCCTGGAAGCGCTCGATAGCTTCATTAAATTTTTGAGGATTGCGGCCATCAAGGAGAAAACGCGCCATCGAGTTCCACCACAGTTGCTGCCAATCAATGAAACAAGCGGTGTTGTCAGTGCAGTATGGTGAATATGTGATAATGGGTGGTTCCTCGCAGGCAATAATACGGTTATGCTCATCGAGAAGTTCTTTTAGATCTACGAATGCATTCCAGACTTCAAACCCAAGTCTCCTTCGCACTGGTCCTGGAATATCACGGATGCGAAATTCGACGAGATGGCGAAAAGCGGGAACAAAGAACTTTGAGATTGAAAATTCGAGGCAGAGTGCAAGTAGCTCGTATGGTTTGTGTTGGAATCGACGTTCGTGGAGGTGATTGATGGCGACATCACGAGCCTTTTGGCTCATGAATTTATTGCTGAAACGAAGAAGGTCAAGGACATCATCGTGAGTGGGACCTTCGGGTTTCCAACTGCATAGTAGTCCTACATTTAGAATAAATGCAGTACCTCAAGAACTGTCTTGACTTACCTATTGTATGCAACTGAGAGGAACAGTTCGAACATATTCATGCTGAGTTCGGGAATGATAATGGGATGGTCGTCGTTTGAGCCTTCCATGCCTTCTGTCAGCGGCAATTGACTTCCAACAGAAAACATCTCCTCGAACGCAATGGATGTGCGTGATAATTGAGTTGCGTGGACCTTGAACAATGCATTTTCAACCTGCATTTTGACCGTTAGTCTACAGTATTGTCAAACGAAAACATCTGACCAAGAAAATATGAGTACCATCGAGTATATAGAAGCGGCGATGTCGAAACCTAAGAAGACTTGGGGCCCCAAACATGATGGTCTGCAATTGAAGTTTGAATTCAAGTCGGAGCACAAAGGACGTAAATGCAGTGTAGCTACCGCTTTATCACCTCTATTCACCAACCATGGATCTTCCAGCTCTACCAGAACATGAAAATCGATGGCCACAAAATGTCTATGCTGCGGAGGGTATCATCAGCAATATATACAATGCTGCAATTAAAATACTTCGGTCAAATGATGCAGAACCAACCAGAGTGGCATACCACTATGATGCACTGTCCACAGAGGCCCTACCTTTGCTCGAAGCGATTGAAAGTGATTCAAGTCCTGCTGATTACCAGCTTCTGCATGACTGGCTACTAGCATGTGCTAGGCTTATTCGGGAGGCAGCCGCAATGCTCAAGGATATCAGTCGAAATCTTCATGTGTAAGTCTTTCACTTGCCTGACACTCTGCTATCTAAATAAACTTCAATCCAGGGAAAATGCTGAACGAGCAAATGTGATAATCCCGGAGCTTGTGACTCTGGGTCATCAGCAATGTCGACTTGGGCGTCGGAAGAAAATCATTAACTTCGATTTTGTCAGTAAAGCCCTATCCAACCAGCACCATATCATGCTGCCAGATCTCGCACGAATCCTCCAAGTGTCCCGCACTACTCTGTGGACATTTATTCGTCAACATGGTCTAGAAAAACACTTTACAGTTATTAGTGATGCTGATCTCGATCAACTTGTGAGGACTTTCAAAGAAAGTAAACCAGAATCAGGATTCCGGTACCTTGTCGGCTTCCTTCGACACCAAGGTATTCGAGTTCAGCAGCATCGTGTTTGGCAGTCCCTGCGCAGAGTTGACAGGCTGGGACAAAGGCTGAGAGAACGACGTGTTACCAGAAGACGAAAATACCGAGTTGCTCGACCAAATGCACTATGGCATGTAGATGGTCATCACAAGCTCATTCGATGGGGCTTCGTCATCCATGGTTTCATTGACGGGTATTGTCGCACTGTAAGTCAATTAATTCATATAAGTAACAATACACCTTACTGTACCAACAGATAACAGCGCTACAAGTTGGCACAAATAATCGTGCATCAACTGTGTTGGATTTATTCATCTATGCAAGAAATGAATATGGTATCCCGTCTCGTATTCGTGGAGATCGTGGCGGCGAGAATATTCAGGTTGCCACTCACATGATTGCGACAAACGGTCACAATCGTGGCTCATTCCTATAGGGATCGTAAGTGGAGTCCTCTGGAAATCTACTTGAATAATAATGCATGTTAGATCAACACGGAATTCTCGCATCGAACGATTGTGGGTTGAAGTAGGCACACAGTTTGTACGCCGGTGGCGGGGGTTCTTTACCAGGCTCAAACGACTTCATAAACTTGATGTCGACAAGCCTGGGCATCTGTGGCTCCTCAGTGTGCTTTTCTTAAATGCGCTCAATGATGATTGTCGACAATTTCAACAAGAATGGAATTTGCATCCTATTCATGGTTCTGATACCAGGGATCGAAGCCCTCAGGTCAGTGAATATTCAGTGGTACAGAATTTTTATCTCATAACTACGAAGGATATGTGTTACGCTGACTGTAGGTCGGCGTGTGCGAACTAGGATAGTTCTTCTCAGCGACGACTCGAGTGAGTCTACTGAAGCTGAGCGTGGTCTGGCCTTGACGGAACGTCAAGGATTCCTCCGGTTATCTCGGTAAGACGGCGCTCGTCGAGATACAGGGCTAGCGGATACGTGCTAAGTCGTATGGGGGCGACTTAGAAGTGCGGTCTCACACAAGGAAGCTGGTAGGCTTAGATGAGCAAGTTCTGGGGATGAACCTAGTAGATTAAAGTGAAGTTAATCTACAACAATGTATCTACTCTTATAGCGTCTAGCTATAGGTATTCTAGCTCAGTCTGTAATCTATAGTATATCGGTAATCTAAGATAACTAGACATGAGGAGAGATAGCATACATGAGGCTTAGCCTCTGATCAAGCATGTGGCGCCAAGGGCAGCTGCGCATAGGTACAGGAAGTGCCAAGCGCTCCGGATCTTCATACATGAGGCGCCTAGGGCGCTCCGGATCTTCATGAAGCGACATGCTGTATACATGCGCTGATCTAGGGTGTCCATGAGGCGTACAGCCTCCATGGAACAGGTACAAGGCCGTCTAGGCCAGGGGCGGGGTCATAGCGCCATGAGGCGGGGTCATAGCGGTCCAGACCGCTGTCTTTCTAGGCGCAGGCGGCGCACCGCCGCGCGGGGAGTCTAGCAGAGCGGGGGCAGGCGTAGGGAGAGCTGGGGCTCTAGTAGGTGTTACAGATCCCTGTAACAATATGTGCCATCTAGGACAGGCATCATTAGGTATCTATGAAGATGAGTTTGAGGGAATCTGTCCTACAGTTCTGCAGCGCTATTATGGTATTCATGGCAGGGAGGTTGTCCGTCATCGAAATCAGACAGGTGCTGGCCACCCAAGTGACGAGGCGGATGAACCAGAAGAAGATGATATTATTGGCCGCATTGAGCAGGAACAAGCAAATGATGTCCAGCATGATGCTGTTGAGGTTCCAGACAGCAATACTCCTTTTCGGAACGAAGAGGATGAAAGTATGTTCTTCGAAACACTTGAGGAGGTTGTCATGGAGGGGATTGTACTGGAGGGATACAATTTACGCGAGGGTGAAGACAAGTATGATGAAAACACAAGTGAATACCTACGAGTTGGAAGGCGGAGGGAGCATCACATGGAGATATCATTGGCTGACCCTATCTGGAGAACTCACTCGACATTATGGGCTCAGGCATCTAGTATTCTAGATCACTTTGAAGCAAATGAATTTTTTTGAGTCGCTTAAGTAGTACTTAACAAAATCCGGAGGGACCCAGGACCATTGAATACAAATTCCGCACCTCGCCGACTAATTTGTGTTCCAGTCCTCTCTTCCATCTCACTTAGAATGCCGAAGCCAGCATTTTGCAAGGGCAATCCTGATGAATCAGTACCCTGCTATTGCAAAGAGTACTCGGCACCCACAAATATTCCAGTTGGCCAAAAAGAACTTTGCGCTGAATGTTTGCATGGGAAGAGCAAACATCCATGACCTCAACCGCCTGTACTGGCTGAGCTACCAGCAGTCGCTACTGCAAAGGAACGAGTTGGAGTGACGGCTATATTCAAGCAATCACTCGCTCGACGAGCAGGACAAGGTAGTCAGAATACAACTACTGCGACAGCTGCGAGAGATGAGGTAATGGCAGGATTTCGCCCACCTGCAAAGCAGAGATTCCCAGTGAGTAACTCACCTGACTTCTGTGTGTTCGAAATGACTGGTGCCGCCTAGGGCAGGATTGTATCCTCGAGACAGGCCAGCTCTTCAAAGCAAGGTCACGTCCCGATCAAAGTCGGTGCCATTGCCATCTTGGTGAATTACCTCGATGTATGTTAGTTCAAACAAGCTATGACTAGTATGAGCTTACCTGGCAACCAAAAGGACAAAGGAGAGTTGTTGACCACAATTCCGCCTGTCAGAACAGAGATGTCGAAGTTAAAACGAAGAGGATGCGCTCATTTTGATGGAGATCAGTCTGAGGACGGAAGTGTGGATTTCAGCTTTTGTTTAGACTGGACATTTGAGGAAGTTGATGCTTACATTTGAAGGTTATTTCCCAAAGTCTTTGAATACCTTGACTCTGTGAAGGTTGGTGATGTCAAAGGGAAGGCTACGGACAATGGGGCATCTGAATGGGTGTTAATTTCGAAAGAGAACCGCAGGCTCAGTGTCGCACCTGAGCCCTTCCCAACTGGCAAACACCTCGAACGGTACAAAGGCAGAAGCAATGCCTCACTTCAACAGACAAATATCTTTATTGGTGAGTCGTTGATAAATTCGTCCTAGATTTTCCAATCAGTGTATGTATAATGATAGGTATCCGGAAATTCGTACCTGAGCATACTTATGCACGCTGGGACCCAGACATGGTTATTATTGATATAGCTGATGACAGCGATGACGGTGATGACGGCGATGATGGCGATGACGGCGACCATAAACAAGAGTATGGGCTTAAAATCAAAGACGACATATTCACTCAAGTTCCAAAGATTGGTTATTCTCACGTGTACAGTCTCGAGCGCTGTGTTTAAAATTCATTGTGTTACTTACTCAAGTGCGTCCAAAATGTCCAATGCAGCGTGGAACCCGTCAAGAACCAGCTCAGAAGAAATTGCGTGGAGGTAAGTACTACCATTTAATTGTATGGGAACACTACTGACACATAATATTTAAAATCAGCTCATGGACAGCCCATTGCATCGAAAACGGGGAACAAGTTGGGAAGATCCTCAGGCCAAGTTAAACATAAGTGTCGAGTTTTTATTTTCTGGCAGAAGTCAAATGTCTAACACTTGGAATTTACAGTTTTCTGTCCAAGTGGCTCTGATACGGATGACAGTCTCAACACCCTACCAGCTAGTCTGAAAGGGATGTCAATCTCACCACAGGTTCAGAAGCGTGCTCCACGCCATAATCCAATGATGCCATTGATCAAGGACAAAGAAAACCACCAGGATATCGACCTGCGAGACTTCGCAAAGGCTCAGAATCATCATGTGCCCGGCGTACCTAATCGACCACTCTTCCAGCCTCTCGTTTCGGTCCAACCTACGCTGAATGACCTGTTGCGCGGCCACCCAGATGTCAATGATCCATTGTCACGTCCGTTCCACAACCCCTGGATGAAGGACTACTTCATTGGCTCTATCAAACTTTGGCTTTAATTTTGTGCGAAAGTCTCATCATCCCATTTAATTCCCCTTACTTCTTTGAATCCTATGTCATTTGCCCTTTAATCTTCCTCACTCCTTTTAATCCTTCATTCTGAGCCCATACTACTATTCAACTCTTCGTTTAATTCCTATCCCGCCAACTTATCCTTCATTAAATGCTGGTTGGTTCAATTGAAAAATTTAGTTCATCAGTTTATCTCACACATCCTCACCTTCATCGTTGCATCCGGTGGCATTGTCAATGAAAATCTCATTGAATTTTTCGCCAACTTGCTCTCAGCCGTGTCCGTCTTCTGGCTCAAGAAGCGCGGTCTCACATTCTCATCAGCCGGGTATGTATGTTACAGTAACATGGCACGAGTCCCCCGCCAGCAGGACAGCCCTCTGCCACCGCATGGCTATAGACGATACCGGAGCCTCACCAGCTCTATGACGATAGATGACGATAGATGATGATAGACGATAAGCGGCAACTGCCGGCTTAGATAAGCGGTCTGGACCGCACATGACATGACATGACGACATAGGTCTAGAAGACCTATTTATGTTATCAAGATAGAAGGCAAGCCTCGTGTTGCCTCATGTACTGATAGAAGGATACCACGTGGATCCTATCTCTGATGGAAGCGTACCGCATGGACGCTATCTACGATAGAAGCCCGCCTCATGGACGCTATCTCTGACTCATGTAGATAAGCAGATTAGAACCCAGCTTCGAGCTGAGCTTAGATACGATAGAGTAGCCTTATATAAGGTCGAAGATTAAAGTAGACGTTCCTTACTTTAATCTTACTAGGTACATCCCAGAACTAGTCTAATCAACTAGGTTTTCCCTTGAACTCCTTGTCCCGCTAAAGCTACCTGCTCGACATCGACTTGTACCTTCAGTGACGCCTCTCACTGTCTGTAAACCCTGCTATCATCTCAGCGTAACCCCTCGTTAACCACCACGAGCTACGTTCGAGTACGCAACCTTTGCTTGTTTGTAAAGGCCGACGACTCTCAGCACTCGGTACCACTGTCGTGGTTGTCGCTGTTTAGATCATCCTAGTTGCACACGACTGTTTGTCGTAACAATGTACACCAATTTTGCATCAGAATGTTCCAATTGCGCGAAATTAACCAGATAGAGCGCGAGATGTGTCAGTATCTGGAGCGAGGACATGGTCAAGAAGGATTTCGTAGGTCAAGGACCTTACCCGGCAAAGACAACCCCTCCTCCTACCACGAATCCCTTCCTCCCTCCTCCAGCTGCTTTGGCACCTATGCCTTCATATGGCCATCATTATCTTTCAGTCACTTTCACAGTGTTGCGCGGTGTAAACGGGTTCAGCGTGCCGACCTCATAGGCCAGGGAGACTCGAAACATCGGCCGCTTTGCTTTCGGTCATCGGTAGTGCTCAATTTTCTTCATTACAAGTGAGATATTTGCCAGGGCTGCAGCGGCCTAATGATTCAAGACCGGCTGCAGGGGCTGGTATTGGTACGTTTCACTTGAGCGAGCATGTGATGTCTTACTGATGAGTCGAGTACAGCCAGCCGAGTCAGTGCGGAGCCCCTCCGTCTCTTAGTAGAGAGCTCCTCAAATGCCAATGCAAACATTCGCTTCGGCCATGCCCTTGCCAATGCCAACGTGAATGGCAATGATGACTCTGACAACGTCGCCCGCTTGGTGCGCCCGAGCCTCGTGATGATCACCTCCACCGAAGTCAAGGGCAAGCATCACTTCTGTGGCGCATCCCTGAAAGCGAAGGCGCTTCGCATGTCAAACGCATTCCGTCATGCTCTTGGCTTTCCTCTCATCGAGATGGGTGATCATGACACCTTCAAGGGCGAAATCGCCAGCAACCCCGGTCCTGTTTCTGGAGAACTTCATATCCTTCCCATTCCCTTGTTTTTGACATAGTTGATTTGGAAATGCGTCTATAGTACTGAATGTGTTACAATACTACAAGACATGTGTATGTTTTAACTATATGTGTGTGTCTCGTATGTGTGTGTGTGTGAGTTTTGTGTGTGTATCATTTTTGAACTGATCCAGCGCCATAGTATTGTGCTACTAGTAGTACTTATTCTTGTATATTTTGATCATCTCTGCAATTCTGTCCAGATCACATCAATGTCTGTCAGTCTGTTTCCTGTGTACCTAATCACCGCCGCCGCTGCGGGTTGTAGTTGATGACGCGGTGCAGCTGTCTGATCGTGTGATAAATTGAAGATGAGTGTCTCTGGCAGTGCATGAACGTTGAACGTCTATGGGAAGCACTGCATTGAATTGAATAGTGAGTTGCATCTTGTTCTCCACACGTGCAAGCAGTCTATAGCTATCATGAAAGCGCACAGGACTTTTGATCATACAGGACGAGGGAGACCAGGCATTGAGCGCTCGAGCTTGAACTTTGTTATTCGACACAATTCTCCCATGTACTCAATAGGCTCTGCCGAAGTCCTGAAAGCAAGCTGAGAATGATAGAGCTCGATGTTCGGCGAACCTGTACGTACTCTCCTATAATGTAATGCAATAGCACCTGATGCTGACGATATGGGTAGCAAGTAACTTGTATTTTCAAGGGCTCATCAAACCTTGCGAGGGTCACAACAGGTCTAACTTCTGTAAGACGTTGTCATCTTTCACTCCACCAGAAGAACAGCCGTTCATTCCAGACTACTATCTCCACGACTGTGTAATGTGCTGAACAATTGGAGCCCGACCCAACCCTTCGTTTGCGCAGACTGAGACTGCAGTCAAAGGCACGTACAGAAATCGATTTGAGGAACATACAACTTTGTCGAGGACTCCTGCTTCTCTATATGAGCGATCATCGATCATCCATGGCTGTGTGTGACCAAGTCAAATTCTCGTAATATACATGATCATGTGTAGCAGGACTCCGGAGCAGACTTAGATCATCCTTGATTTTGGGTCTAGCACACTCAAGATTTGGATCCCTGCGCCGCCACCGCTTACACTGAAAAATACAGGTCTTAAATAGATCAAGGACATCCAAATGCTCCTACCGCCCTGTGACAGATTCATCCTATAAGTTAAGCACGTAACCAACTCTACCAAACCCACTCCCACCAGTCATCTTGTACGGTCCAAACCTCGCTCCATGAACGATACCGAATAAGTCATGGGATAAGACAATCACGCCGTGGGATTTGCAAATGAAATGTCGGATATTGGAACATGCACAAGGGTGTTAGTAGAGCTGTGTGGATGTTTGATTCACCTGCCAGAGATGGAGGTGCATGCACGTGCAAGAATTGCAAGCATGATGCACTGGACACTATATGTGGGTGTACATTTTGGATATTTGTAGGCAGGAGGATGTGGAGACATACCTATACAAAATA